ATGAGTGGGGCTTTTCCCAAGTATAACTCAAGTCCCTGGAGAATTTTTATTTCCAAGCAAATTAGTGCTTTTTGAAAGGCTTCACCTCTGCCCCAACTCGCGGTTGTTGTTTTTAATAATTACAATCAAAAGCCATATGTCTACTAATTTATTTTCATTCACTGAGCTTCTCTGTAGTTTTTTATGGCCAATGACTGTAGGTTGAAATTTGTGCTTTTAAGGAATAAATAGCTAGTTTAAAGAGATTGAGCTGTTATAAGCTGATAATTTGGGCTCAGCTAACCTTTGGCCCCTGCCATGATTCATATCCAAGTTGTAGCAATGCTAAAACAAGTCCAAAAAAGCTGGAATTGAGATACCCAAAGCCCCTCAGCTGACTCTGGCAATTTTCCAAAAGCTTTGATGTATATAACCTCATTTATTTCCCATTTGTCAAAAAAATCAATGGCATTGTGGTTTTCAGATAGATTTGGGGTTTCTCAAGATATTCTGTGCTTCCCATATGCCTTAAATGGGGAGTTTTCTGGACAGCTTTTGACTTTACCAGAAGCAAATTACATGGGAGGGTATTTCCTAGAAAATTAAGTGCCAAAGAAATAGAGTGTAGAAAAGCTTTTGTTATTTGTCCCCTTTCAGTGTCATAGAATTGCATATTGTCAGAATCCTAAAGTTTCTTATAGATCACCTAGACCAACATTCCTCTTCCTTCTCCTAATGCTTCAATTGCAACCACAACACTTCCTCCAAGGATTCATTCAACTTTAACTTGAGCATCTTCAGTGATAGAGAACTTTTCCCCTGCTTCCTGAGTGAGCTTGCTGCTTCTTGGGGCATCTCTATTAGAAAGTTTGTTCTCATACTAAATTTGCTTCCACCCACTGAAGTCACAATGAAGCCTGTCTGCTTACTCTTCCTAGTAACAGACCTTCAAAGATATGAAGACAGAAACATCCAGATTTTAATCCCTTCATCTGGTCCCCATAAGTCATGATTTCTAGGGTGCACAACATATGAGAAAATAAGTATTTTATATGTATGAGTCACTGGAGACATCTATATTAGGCTGAGGTGGGAGAAATAAGGCAGTGACACATCCTCTGAAACATCAGGCTTCAAACCCATAAATTCATATAGCCATATAGGGTCAGGGAAAGAAAGAGAAGGGAGGGAAGCTAGAGGCTGAAATCCAGCCAGCAAAACTGGCCACCACTTCCTGTTAGGTTCACCAGTCAGGTCAATTTCAGTCACGCACGTAACAGAGCGATCTTCTTGGCTCTCCCCTAAAAAGCTTTAAATATCAATGTCTTAGTCAGTTTAGACTGTCATAATGAAATACCACAGACTGGATGGTTAAACAACAGAAATCTATTTCTCATAGTTATTGAACCCGGGGAAGTCCAATTAACATGCTGGCCAATTTGCTTTCCTGGTGAGGGCTGTTTCTGGCTTGCAGACAGTGGAGAGAGAGAAGGTTCTGTTCTCTCTTTCTCTTACAAGGACACTAATCTCATCATAATGGCTTTGCCCTAATGACCTCATATAAACCTCAAATTACCTCTCAAAGGTTCCACCTCCAAATAGCATCACCCTGGGGGTTGGTACCTCAAGATATGAATTGGGAGGCACAAAAATTCAGTCCATAATAATCAAGTATCTCATACATTCCAGTACTCAGTTCTTTGTTAGATAAGACATTATTAGCTTTAGAGGCTATAGCTGAAAGATATAGAATTGACATAGAATTCAGGGCTTTGTCTTTACCTATCGCAGTTTCAGACATGCATGAGAACTTTTGTCAGGAAGCATGACCCAGCCTGGCCTGAAGCATGGCTGTTTACCTTCATGAGACCCTCTGACCTTTGGGATCCTGACTGTATAATAGTTTTAAGTTTAGTAACCGTAACTGTGCTAAACTCATCTCCCAAAAGGCAGTCTCCAGGATCCCCATCAATATCTTGTTGTCAACTGCATTATAGAAAAGATGATCATTACATACAACATCTTAAAACATTGGTCAATGGTTGTTGAGTGTTCATAAAGTGGTTTGTAATAGCCGAGAAGGCATTCCTTACCTGAAGCAGTTTTATACTCTGAAGAGTCAAGACAAGCTAATGAGTGAGACAAGATGGATAACCATGAAAAAGACTCGGGGACATTTATGAGAATAAAAATACATTATGTAATAGTTTGCTCTACATTTTGAAGTACAGTCAATGAATATTATTTGCTCTCCTACTCTTCATAAGGTGTCTTCAAGCATCATACAAACCAACTGATAATAAAGAGAAACATGTAACGAATACCTCAAGGCATTATATATATAATATCAGATAGTGTTAGCACAGAAAAGGGAGTGGTCAGTTTGGGTAGGGGCAGCTCAAAGGGCTTCTAAAAGACTAGAACAGTGATGGATGAATAGGTATGATTTACAAAAACAGAGAGGTTGGGAATGGCATTTCAAGGGAAGAGGGTAGCCTGAGTAAAAGGTATACAGGTTGGAATTGATAAATCAATATTCATTCTACCAATATTTATTGAGCACCTGTGACATGGTAAGTACTTTGTTAGATGTTAGGGTTATCGCACTGACTAAAACTTGTGTGGTCCTTGTCTTCATGGAGTTTACATTACAATGATGGAAAGAAACAGTAAATAAATGAATAAATAAATAAATAGACACTTTGTACTTGTGATAAATGCATGAGAGAGAGAATAGTTAGGTAGAGAAAGGAAGCATACTTCACAGTGGATAGTCAGAGAAGACCTGAGGAGGTAACTTTTCACTTGGCCCTGAAAGATTACCAGAAGCCAATGTAATATAATTGTGGAATGTGGAACAACTGGGCATGTGAGAAAATAAGATTTATGGAGAAGCTGAATGACACAGTTGGTGAGGAAGAGTGGGGCCTTAGAAGGGCTTATGTTGAGGGAGGAATATAAATTTTATTTGGAGGCAGTGGAGAGTCATTGAGAGCTTTGGAGAGGGGTTTGATCAAAGTTATGGTTCAGGAGGATGAATGAGGAGGCTGATGGAGATTAGTTTGGATAATGGTGCGACTGGAGGAGAGCAACTCAGTTAGGGAAATATAATTGTCCATGAATGAGGGAATGACTGCCCAGACTAGGATAGCTGCATGGTGGAAACTGAGAGGAAGGGTGAAATGTAAGCTGTGGCAAAGCATCAGTTGATAGAACTTAGCAACTGATGGGAGGTAGGATGGGAAGGTGAGGGAGAGAGAAGAATCAAATATGATAGTGAGCTTTTAATCCTTGGTTATAGCAAAAATATGTCTTCCACCAGAGAAAAATTGAAAGGATGAGTTGGTCTGAGGGGAAATAATCAGAGGTTTTATTGAGTTATTGTTCACATGCTAGTGGGGTCCTCAAGTGGAAATGTCCAGTAGACAAGTGGCAATATGGCCTAAGAGTGGCCATAGAGAAAAACAATAACTCCAAATTGGGCATGTGATAATGGGAACAAAAAAATTCAGAGAAGGGGGAAATTATTTTGTATTCAGCATCACCTATACATGCCTGAATGGGTCTTCTGCATTAACAACTTGATGCTGGGATTCAGGGCTATGGAGGTTTACTACCGAGTGGGTTAGATAACAGGGGCATAGATTTTGAGAGCTGTCAGCTCAGTTGTTCAGACAGTCATATTTTTCAGTCAAGAACATCACTGCTGTGATTGATCAAGAGGGAGGCTTTATCAAGACAAACATTGGTACAAGGAATATTGAGCAAATCTTGGGGTGCTAGAAGCAAGTAGCCACAAGAAATGATAATACAATTGTATGACAAGTAGAATGTTTTAATAATTTAATTATATCTCAAAACTTTGACTGCAAGATAACATTCTATCATTTCTGACTCCCAGCACATACCCCACACCCAGCACATACCCCACACCCAGCACATACCCCACACACAAATACAATGAAATGATTAAAACCCTTAGGCCTGGATCAGCACCACCAGTTGCTCTTATCAAACAAGTAACCTCCCAGACTGTAGCCATTTCTGTTTAAAAGAAAGTGAGTGTAGAGTTGTGTGTGTGTGTGTGTGTGTATGTATGTGTGTGTGTAATGTTCTGATGTAAAAATTGATGTATCTCTTGGGGGTAAGAACATTGGTATGACAGTCAATTATTTCTTTATAATTTATATCAATTCTATTTGCAAAAAGGATTAAAAGTGTTTCTGCATGCTATCTTCCAAATCAAAATCTGGGTATCCAGAGTTTCATTTTAAAGTCCTCTCTTTTTTTTCCAGATCACATCTGTGGGAAACTGGTCAGTGTTACTATCTGGCTTCGAGCTGTTGTGCTACCTTTTTTATAGGGGAATTCACATTTAAGTGTATTTTCCTGTATGCATCATTTTTAATCTAATAAAAAGTATCTCTGGTGTAGGTTCCAAAATAAAAAAATTACCTGTGGAGAGGCAGCATGAAATGGCAAAGCTGCTAACTCATATCAGTAGACCTGGGGTTGCAGTCTTGTTTCTGCCATTTATTGGGTATATGTTTTGGTTTTTTTTTTTGTAAACTGTGGAATTAGGTTGCTGTTATTGTTAGTTTTGAAAATTAACATGAAGGAATTGCTGTGAAGGTTTGTAAGTTGGACAATACATATGTTAGTCATCTGTAATGGCAGACTTTCAGACTCTGATACTTCAGTGATAATATTGGGATGAGGAACTATTTGGCCTATTACATTATATCAGTCAAGAAGTTTCATTGTCTATCTTCTTCAAGTAAGTCTTCTCGGGCACTAATTCAGAGCTGTACTCAGTATGTGGCTAAAAGTGGCCTCTGCCATTGTTGGCATTTAGAATGAAACACAAGAAATGTTGGATTTCTACAACTGGGCACTTATCCTCAAGGGAGTATGGTTTGTCTCTGCAATGTGGCTTTCAGGACAAAAGAATAAAACATGTCGTTATATAGCAGTTTCTCTTGCCTAGTCATATTCACAGTGACATTTCTTCATCTTCACAGATGTGGCTGGCTTCATGGAGGCAGAACCCCTGGTCTCAGTGATCGAGGGCTATGATGCTCGGCTCATATGCAAGGCACCTAAATATATCTACAATCATCTTGCTTGGTTCAACCCCCTTGGAGAGAAGTTTCCTGTTACAGACACAGAAACCTTAAAAAATAACTACTCTATCTCATTGACACTGGTGATTAAGAATGTGACCCAGAAGGATAAAGGGCAGTACAAGTGCAAGGCTTGGGCCCAGAGAAACATCACCAAAATGATGCAACACAATACTCAGCTCTTAATTAGAGGTAGAATTGGAGTGATTTTTCTCATAACTTCTTAGCATTTAAGCCAACTGCTGGGTGGGCTGTGGAACCAGAATAGGGCTCTTGTTCTGTATTACTTATAGGCTAGGCCAGTCAATCATGTGTTTCCTGAAGCCTTTTGGAGATATTCCAAGGAAAGGATCTCTAATGAATTGTATTGTCTGTCAAGCAGATGATAGAAACATTTGGAAAACGAACTTTTTGATCCTTCTAATACAAAGACCCTTCAGAAGCCACTTTTATTGATTGAAGTTGCTAAGGGTGACCTTACTAAGTGTGAGAATTAAAGAATAACTTGAAGGACACAAAAAGTAAACCACTACACACTTTACCCATATAGTAGATTTTTATCCCTGTCCACCCTATCTTTTCCTGAATATGGTAACACTTAACCATCCAAATGTCTGATTAAATATGAGGGGTGAGGCAAAGATTAAATGCCACATTTGTGACACCCTGCCTCAAAATCTGGTCTTCTTTTACCCTGGTCTCTACAGAAAAAGTGGCTCCATTCATTATTGAGAACCTCACCAATATCGAGGTCAACAGCAGTGGCAAGATTTTGCTGGATTGCAAAGTGAATGGAACCCCATGGCCTGAGATCCACTGGTTGAAAAATGGAGTTCCTGTTCTCCCTGCTTCAGGTGAGTCTGAAAACATTGTATAGTTATTTCCAAGTCTGAGGACCAATTAGGGGGGCTTGGACTGGTGTAACTCCTTACAGAATACTTGACTTTGAAACTCTTCCAAGATTGATTTAATGAGATGGGGGCTTCAAATGTTCTAAGGCTGGCCTTCAGGGATGACACCTCAGATACTAATGACAGGGGCATTGTCGATGCAGGAATCTTCTTTGAGAACAACACCCTTATTATTGAGCGAGCCAAAAAAGAAGATGAGGGCTTGTATCTGTGCAAAGCAACCAATGAATTGGGGGAAGTCAGCACAGCAGCTTTTATAACTGTGGAAGGTAAGTTGGAAATTCCTGGCTACGCTGGTCATCAATCAGTCATGGAACTCAGGAAAAAAAGTGCGTTTGGTGATAGGGGCACAGTGTGGACGGACAATGAGGAAGATAAGCATGGGTGTACGCACAAGTATTGTCCTTAATATATCCACTTTCAATGGGAAGGTGTGTGGAATAGTAAGATTTCGAAAACCTGAGTTCACATCCCAATACTTGTGAACTTGATGGGATCTTGGAAAGTCATTTAACCTTTCTGGGTCTCAGATTTCTCATTTCTGAAAGGAGAATAACAACAGCTGTACTCTGTCTTTCAGAGGTGATACAAATGAAGGCCAAGACATGGGAATGCTTTACAAAATATAAAGTATCAATTGAGAGCACTCCCTTTTGGTTGGTTGGAAAATATTGGGTGGCATTTGGAAATATGAACATAGAATGTTAGACCTTTGATCACCTTTCATTGTAAATATGAAGCCCAAAGAGAATAAGACACTTGTTGAAGTTTGTGGAAAGGTCTTTTAACTGCAGTGTCCTATGCTACTATGATGATTATTTGACTGTTAAGGGCAAAGCTGTGTTGTTCAAAGAAATGTTACTCGTTGAAATACCGTCTTGGCCTCACTACAGCCATTTGAACATTCAGCTATACTCGTCTACGGCATATCAGGCAAACCATATAAGCTGATTTAACAATCTGTCCTCCCAGTGGTCTGAGATAATCTACAGAGTCTGTACTATAAAAAACAGGAAATTATAATAATACAAGTAAGATAGCTAAAATAAGTTACCTGCCATGTATTGTGCTACTTTCACTTTTCATTATCTCATTTAATCCTCTCGATAACTCTATGTTGTATTTCATTATTCCCATTTTTAGATGGGGAAACTGAGTCACAAAGAGGTTAATAACTTGCCTAAAGTCATGCAGCTAGTAAGTGGTAGAGCCAAAGCCAGGATTTGAACACAGGCAATTTTGTGCTACAGATGACATATATATATATATATATATAATCTCCATACCCAATATGTTTTCAACTCATCTTTTGAGTCACCTAGAACAATTATCAGGAATGTTTTTTCTCTAAGTCTCAGTAGGCAATGCCCACACACCATAAAAATTTCACACATGCATAAACACAATTTGGCACTTGGTGACATTACTCCTTTAGAAATAAAATGTGCTTTGTAAAAGGCAGTACTTTTCTCTTGTTTCTTCTCAGTCTCTGCAGTGAACTAACTCATTTTCCTTTTAATAAATTCTGACTTTTTACAGGCTCTGAAGAGAAATCCAATATTGAAGTCATCATTCTTGTTTGTACTGGCCTTGCAGCTACCCTTTTCTGGCTTCTTCTTACCTTGGTCATTCGCAAACTCCGAAAGGTAAGGGAGAAAAGGTACTTTAGGGCCTTGGGGCTGGTGTATTCTGCAGTTTAGATGGTTTTAAGGTTGAACCTGGTATATGTTTTGTCTTGGATCAATCTCTTGAAAGATGGTAATATTTATCCAGGCAACAGAGAATGTGTCCAAGCAGTGTGTGTGTGTGCGCGCGTGCGCGCGTGTGTGTGTGTGTGTGTGTGTGTGTGTGTGTGTGTCTGTGTGTGTTGGAGACTAAAATGTAATGGAGTTTTTACTTCCTGCCTCCTAAAACATTGGGAACTGATACAAGAACACATCTACCCACTCAGATTCCATCTTCAATTTTTAGATAGTACAGCTAATGCTGTCAAGTATCATTTTTAGAGGATTTTGTAATGTATCAGCTGAGTTGGTGGCTAATATTCATACTTATAACTATACAAATGTTATATCTAATAATGTGATATATTTTCATAGAATGTGGATGAACATATAGTTACCACAGCTAAAGTCCTACTAAGTGATAAATGGGCTTTTAGTTACTTTTGTTTACAAGGCTACTTGTTTTTCTTTTAAGATTTTTATTGGGGAATTGGGGGGATGGGAACAGCACTGGGGAATTGGGGGAAGGGGAACAGACAAGTTGCTGTCCTTTTGTTCTTCAGTCTAGTTGTGGAGGACGTTGCTTCACTGGCCCAAGTTGGCACCATCATTGCGCTCTTCCTGGGCGAGGCACATCAGTCACTGGCTTCTGGACGGCCGCTCACTGCGGCTGCTGGCCGCTCACGCTGGCTGCTGGCTACACACGGTAGCCCGTGGCAACCCACTGCCATAGGGGCTGCAGCCTACGCCGTCGCCGGCGACTCCCGGAAGCCCAGCTCCAGGTTGGGCTGTTGTTCAGCATCTTAGCTGTAGAGGGCAGTATCACTGGCTCTCATATGTGGGATCCGAACCGGGGCCCTCTGGCGTCCCAAGCCAGCTCTTAACCAATGCACCACTCGGCCGGCCCAAGGCTACTTGTTTTTAAAAACATTTTTTTTTGTGTTAAATACTCCATTTTATAAAAGTTAAATTATTAGAGGGAAAATGAATGTCAACTTAGGCACAATCTCCTTTTGCTGAGCAATGAAGCAAGTAATTGACAGGAAGACAAAATTAGGCATGTCATTACAAATGAAATGTGTCAACAAGTCTTCTAGGTCAAGCTAATGGACAGCTGTAGTAGATATTCCAAGGGTGTCGTGGAGCTCCAAGTTTTCCTGATAGTTAAGCCACTGGGTCCTATCTCAGCCTCAAGCCATGCCAGCTGTCACAGGTCCTTTTCTTTCTTTAGACTCCAGGGACTCAGATTTCTTTTCTCAAATGATGCCACCTACTTTACCCTATTTCACAGACTCCCCTTGAGGCTGGTTACAGAATTGGCCAATCTTATTGGTTTCTCTTTCTTTGCTAACATTGAACACAAGAACCACATCTTTTTTATTTAAAAGGATTTCAATGCTATTACAAAAAAGAAATAGAAAAGCCAAAAATTAGTGCAGGGATGGGAGAGGTGGTTGATAAAACGTCCTGCATCTTAATAAAGATCTCCTAGATATTAGCTCTAGTCTGGGATCCCTTATTCCACATGTCTTCCTGATTTTCTTCTTTATTAATAAAGTTAGAAGTTAACAAATCTTCTCTTCTTCCTAGAACAGCCCTCTGCTTCTCTTTCATCCACATCCTGACATAAGGATGCATCTAGGATGAAGATAAAGGTTGGAAGTAAAAGGTTGTGTCTTAGCATCAAGTTGGTCATTTTTATCTCAGGGGGATTCTACATGGATGATGTCCATCCTGGTCACAGGAAAAGCGACTCAAGGCCATCATTTACCATTTGGTCTCCACACTGAAGTTTGGAGTTTCCTTGTCTTTCTTAATCACAGGATCAGTCGATGTTTGATGTGCCTCAGGCTGTGGTCATTTTTGAAGCCAGAGTCATTATCCCCCAGCACGCACATATTTCTTCTGCTCCTAACTTAGAGTGTGATTTTCAGCAAATTCTTTTACCTCTCTGGTCTTCTCTTTTTTCATCTGTAAAATCATGGGATTGGACTAGAGTCGTGTTTTCAAACTGGTGTTTTGTGTTTTTATTTTTCATTTTTTGTTTTGTTTTTTTACAGAGGCCATCAGTGAAAAGTACATTTTCTGTCATGATCCAGTATATAACTGAGTCAGGAGTTTTATTAAAAATTACTTCTGCATGTAATACTCTTATATTTTCTTTCTTTTTCTTTTTTTAAATGCTGACTGTGAACTTCTGTATTTTTCTACCAAATGATAAGCCATAATCCAATGTTTGAAAGCACTAGACAACACTTATCACTAGTTACAATGTCCTACAATTCCAGTTTTCTAACTCTTTCTTCTTTAACTGAAATTGAATCTTCTCTATATTGAGAGAGCAATCTACACTGGAAAACTTAGGGCTGGGACTTGGAGGTTTTGTAATGTTCAGCTATACTTATCTTGGAGAGAGAGAAATGATCCACTTGGCTCACTTCCTCTAGGGCTGTCACATTAGTAATAACATCAGTAACTTACACCAACTGAGGCTTAAAGAACCTAGCCTCAAGCCTTAGCCAGCTTTCATGCCTTCTTAAGGAATGAGAGAAAAGTGACTGACAGCAAAGGCTGCTCTTGGAACCAGAGAATGAGGAAACAAAAAAAAAGGATGCTGAAGCTCAACTAGAGCAGTATTTCTAAGACCAAATAGAAAGCATACCAGGAAAATGTCTAAATTCTGTGCCATTGATTCCAGGAGTGAAAAAGTAGGAAGGAAGTCCTGACTAGAGTAGAAATAATAGTCCCAAAGAAGATGATGAGAGATGAAGGAAGGCAGGGCCAAGAGTTGGTTGAGAATAATGACCTTTGATTCTCTTACTTTATGGGTAAAAAGCCTGAAAGGAGGAAGTGATTTGCCTTAGGTCATAAATGCCTTAATGGCAAACCCAGAATGAGAACACATATCTAGCTATTGATTTTTGTTTAATGAAAGTAAGTAAATGGGTAATAATAATGCTTCATTGTGTTTGAAAATCTAGGAAATCCCAATATATGAAGGAAACAAAAACCCATAATAGCATTCACAGACAACCAATAATAAATTTTGTTGGATTTCCATCCTTTTTTTTAAATTGTGGATTTTGAGAACATTGAGGTCATATTCTATATTGCATTTTTGTATGTAATATTAATCCAGTATAATATAATATTTTACCATTTTACTCACTGAAAACATCATTTTAATAGCTGCAGAATAGATCTAAAAACCAACTGAACATGTAAGTCATTCCCAGTTTCTTACTAATAGAAATAACTATGATGAATATCTTTGGACATAAAGCTTTCTTCTGGATATTTTATTATGAAAATTTTAAAGTAGAGAAAAGTTAAAATAATTGTAAGTAAACACCCATATACCCACTACCTAGATTCTAGAATTAATATTTTTCTGTATTTGCTTTATCACTTATCTACTTTTCTATCAATTTTCCTATTTATCCATCAACACATCTTATTTTTTGATGCAGTACAAACCAAGTTGCAGACAGTATATTTTACCTTTTAATATTTAAGCATGTATATTATTAACAAGAGTTTTATTTACATAACATTCTTTCTTTAAGTGAAATTTACATAGGTAAATGCATAAAACATAGGTATACCATTTGATGAGTTTTAATACATGCATACACCTCGTGTTACCCCAATTTATATAAAGGTACAGAATATTACCATCACCCCAGAGAGTTCCAACATGAAGGCAGTCCCCATTCCTATCTCCATCCCCACAGAAGGAAGTGCAGTTTTAAATTTTTTCACTGGAGATTTGTTTTGTCCATTATAGAAATTCATAAAAATAGAATCAAAGAGTATATTAGATTTCCTCCACTTAGCATAATGTTTTGAGATTTGTCCATGTTGTTATATGTATTTTATTCTTTTTAATTGTTTATTCTTTTTTATTGCTGAGTAATAAATGTCAAATACATGTCATTGTATAAATATAACAGAGTTTGTATAGCCACTCCCTTGCTAATGGACCCCTGGGCTGTCTCCATTTTGGAACTATTATTAATAAAGTGCTGTGAACATTCTACCAAGAGTACCTTGTGGACCTACATAGGCTATTATTTCACTTGGAAAAATATATAGAAGTGAAATATATGTGTCATAGGAAAGGTATAGGCTTAGTTTTTTTTTAATGCCCAGAAATATTTCCAAGTGATGTGCCATTTTATAATTTTGCCAACAATGTACAAAGCCTAGTTGATCCACATCCTCACCAACAGTTGATGTCAAGCTGTTTTTATTTTTACATTCAGTATTGTTTTATATTAATGTCAGGTGTACAGCATAGTGGTTAGACATTTATATAATCTAAGTAGCTATCCTCCTGATTAGTCTAGTACCCACCTGGCACTATACATAGTTATTACCATATTATTGACTATATGTGTATTCCCTGTGCTTTACATTCACATGACTATTTTGTAACTACAAATTTGAATGCCCTTAACCTTTTTTACCATGCCCTTCAAGCCCCTCTCATCTATCACCCTGACAAATCTAGTACCCATCTGCCATCATACATAGTTATTATGGTATTATTGACTATATTTCTTATGCTGTACTCTACATCTCCATGATGGCTTTTTAACAACCAATTTGTGCTTTTTAATCCCTTCCCCTTGTACAGCCCCCCAACCTCTCTTCCATCTGGCAACCATCAAAATGTTCTCTGTATCTATGAATTTGTTTCTGTTTTGTTTGTTTGTTTGCTTTCTTCTTCTTGTTTCCACATATAAACAAAATCATATTGCATCTGTCTTTCTTTCTCTGAAATAGTCCACTCAGCACAACACCCTCCAGGTCCATCCATGCCGCCACAGATGGCAAGAACCCAATCCCTTCCATGGCCCAGCAATTTTCCACTGTATATATGTACCGCCTACTCTTTATCCATTAACCCATCAATGGAA